TAAGTATTTTAGGACTTATTATTAAGAATAAGATATAGTCTTTACAACTAAATTTACATTTATTTTACCAATCTTCTGTTAAAGGGGAAAGAGTTATGTCCGAAGGGCGTTTATACAAATGAACAAATTTATTTGTAAGATATCCCTGCAAACCCTATGCAAACACCAGCTTCAATTGTTCCAGAATGGTATAGAAGTAAAAGATGCCATGCTTAAGATTAATCTTATGAAAATTTTAACTTTACTATATGCTGGAAAATCCTAAAGACTTGCATACTAATTTATTTGTTTACTACCTCTACCTCTGCGCTAGCTCTGTTTATCTCTTAACGGTGTCCGTCCTACCCTTAATTAGGGAACGCTTACAGACCTATACTAGGATTAGTAGTTACAAGTGATAGGGTTAAGAGCCGATTTTTCCAGGTATGCCCTTAGGGTAAAGGTTTTTTGTTTTTTCGTTTTTTAAGGCTTTAGGGGCTTCGTTAGCACACCGCCTTAAGGCAGAAAAGTATAAATAAAATGAGTAAAAATTCCAAGTATATATAATGGACAACCAGCAGGAAATTTCACAATTTATTTATGATGCTTTGACCGCTTGCTTAAAAACAAAAATTATAAATAGTTACAAGTAACTATTTATAATTTTTTTAACTGCTTTGCCTTCGCTAGAGCAGAAGAAGCAGAGCAGCGAAGGCAACGATAAAAGGGATGCTTTAGCTTCGCGCAAGCGGTGCGAGCATCCGAAGGCCGCCTTCGGATGCTTGCACCGCTTGCGCGAAGCCTGATAAATTTTAAATATTGTTGTAACCCTCAGAGATAATACGTAAAGCTCCTAAAAATCAGTGTATTCATTAGGATGAAGATATTATTCCAACCATTATTAAATTAAATGGTTTATATTATTAAAATATTAGTGATCTGAGAATTTTTATAAGTTTAGTAAGTACTAAAAAGTACTCGACTCTGGAAATAAACAAAAAAAGATTGACCTCCTGATAAAAAAAATAAAAGATAACAATTTATTTTTTTAGCTAGCTAATAAAATTTTTATATCGGGGCTTTTAAAAATTTTATTAAATATCAAATTTTGGCTAGTTAAAAAAATTATAAATAGTTACTTGTAACTATTTATAATTTTTTTTTAGTCTACGGCCGCCCTTCTTCGTAGATAAACAGGACAAAACAAAAATTGCCCTTCTTCGCTAGAGCAGACAAAAGCTTAGCATAATATATTAATTTTTAACATTAGCAAATGCTAAAGTAAATAGTTACAAAGTCACTATTTATAAATTTTTTTTCCTTAAAAAATTTATAACTATATATAAATTTTTTTTAGCCCGCAAAAATTTTATTAGGCGTAGCCTCGCTTGCTTGCGCAGCAAAGCATCGCTTCGCAGGGTGGGAGTGGTATAAATTTTAAATTTGATCTTTTACCTTTCTACGCAATTTTAAGATCAATACCTAACAAATTGAACTCATTAGCGGTTTGTCTAAATTTTACTCTATGCTTGAAAGTTTTGTAATTCAAGTACTGTATTTAACAGTTAAAATCTAAGAATTTGTTTAAAATAACAAGCAAGTTAGTTATTATCTCTTTATCTGCACTTTGTGCCTTGTAGTCTGGCTTACACTGCACTGCACTGCACTGCTAAAAAAAAATTATAAATAGTTACAAGTAACTATTTATAATTTTTTTAATAGTTGCGCTCTTATAAAAATTTTATAAGCCTTGTAAAGCTAAGCGTAGACCATTACAAATTAGATATTAACTCCATCGACTATACGTAGAAATACTAAATTGATAAATAATAATTTGGATAAGAAATAGTCAATAAAGGCTAGTTGAAAATATGGGAATAGTAGTACTAAATTTAATCTATATCCTGATTTCCCCTTGGCACCTTGGCTCCTGCCTAAACGATAGTGCTGATACCGCTTTGCTGCTCTCTGGCTACGCTGGCTACGCCCTTGCGCTAAAAAAAAATTATAAATAGTTACTTGTAACTATTTATAATTTTTTTTAGCGAAGCGAAGCAAAAGATCAGACTAAATACACCGATAATTATAATAAAGTATCTATTTTTTTTTTATAGGTATGATTTTAGGAGATGGTACTTTTCACTTAAGACTAAGAAAATCGGATAAAGGTTCGATTTAGATAATACCTGCTTTATTTTTGCCTCAGCTTAAAAATAAATATAGCGTTCATTTTTTTTTTCTATATTGGAAGTTTTTTTTTAATCTTTTGAAATTAAAGTTTATACTATTAATAATGCTAACGATTCAGAAGCTATAGATATTATAAGTTCAACCACTAATTTAGATAATAATATAAAAGAAATGACTATTCTAACTATAGAAAGTATCCATTCTATGTTTTAAAAGTTAATTCCTTTGTGCTAATAAAATTTGTATATTTATTGTTGCTTTGCTTCTATGATGCTTGCACCGCTGTGATCTTTTATCGTTGCTGCGCTTATAAAATTTGTATTTATAAAAATTTTATTAGGCTCTTCGCTCGCTTAAGCGGTAAAATTATCGCTTGAAGCACGTACGTGAGTGTATTTCATCATAATTCTAATTTCAAATTTCGGCAATTTGGCTTTACCAATGACACTGAATCAAGAGTAGCTATTGAACAAGCAATAAAATACCGAGATTAAACTATCAAATCTGGGGTAGATTCACTTAAATAATTAAATATTTAATTATTAGTTGGGTTGGTTTACACGTTTACACGTTTACACGCTTACATAAATACCTTTTATTTTCGCTTATCTCTTGAAACTACTTTCCTTCCCCTGATGCTCTGGATAAAATTTTTATTTAGCTACGCGCTACGCAGACACGGCCAAAATTTGAAATTCAGTATATAACGCCAGCCAGTGCACAAATTTTTATTTTGTGGTTTAGAAGGTTTAAGCTTAAGCTTGTATTAATTATATTTTTATTTTTAACTTATTTTTTAAAAATGGCTAGGAGTTATAGCAATGTTTGGGTCATTGTTAATTTTATTAATCTTACCCTTAACAGATGTTTCTAGAATAAGAGGTTCAACTTTTAGACCTTTTATGAAATTAGCATTCTGGTTCTTTGTTGTTGATTTTATCATCTTAACATGGATTGGTTCTCAACACCCTAACACACCATTTGTTGAGATAGGGCAAATTGCAACTGCCTTTTATTTCCTATGGTTCTTAGTAATAGTACCTGTTTTAGGTTTAGCTGAAAACACTTTAATGGATATTGCAACAGAATAAATTTTAAACAGACGCAAGCGCTTGTTTTTAATTTTACGTCACATTTAGCCTAGCCTTGTTTAAATTTTAATCAAATTTTTATAAGGTCTACGGATTTTATCTTGCGTTCTCTGATATTTTTTTTATTGATTTAAGGTTAGGTAGCCTTTACCCCTCCCCCCTTTTTTCCTTTAGTCTGGCGTAGCCCTAGCTGCCTTCGGACGCTTGCGCAAGCCTCGCCTCGTCTCTTGAACTTTGATCGCTGCGGCGGCGGCAGGAAAGGACGCTACCGCTTGCCTATAAAAAATTATAATTTAATTATAATTTTTTTAAGCGCTAAAAAAAAATTATAAATAGTTACAAGTAACTATTTATAATTTTTTTAACTAATAAAATTTTTGCGGGCTAAAAAAAAATTTATAAATAGTTACTTTGTAACTATTTAATAAATTTTTTTAACTCCGGACGTAGTCGTAGCGCCCTTAAAAAAAATTATAAATAGTTACAAGTAACTATTTATAATTTTTTTAACTAGTTAAAAAATAATTGTTATCAAAGATTACTATTATTTTTTTTAACCGATATCTATATAAAAATTTTATAAGCGCGAGAGTGTTTTAGGCTAGGATTAAAAAATGTTTCTCTATCTTCAATGTATATTTTAGCTGATGAATTTCGATCTAAAAATCTAAACAATATTAATTAATTTTTAAAGTTAAAACGATTGCCATTTAATGGTTAAGTGTCTAAGAGTCTTAATAATTCTGTCTTTACACTATATTTTTTTGGTCGTGTCCGTGTCTCTTTGTGATCTTTGATCGTTGATGCTTTGCTGTGCCTTCGCTAGAGTCGCTGATCTAGCGAAGGCATCGAAGCGAAGCAAAAGATCACAAAGCGGTATCAGTGGGGAGAAATAAATTTTTATAGCACAATAATAAAATCGTACCTTATTTATTTTTTAATAAAACTAATTTATATATTACAATTTGAGCCTAATAAAATTTTAAAGCAGCAAGGGCTAAATAAAAATTTGATATTTAATAAAATTTTGATAAGCGCTAGCGCCGCTGTTATCTTTGATCGGGCAACGAAGCGAAGCAAAAGATAACAGCCGCGCACAGACGCTAGAGAGCAGAAGAGCTAAGCTAGGCTGTGATACCGCTTTGCTAAAAAAAAATTATAAATAGTTACAAGTAACTATTTATAATTTTTTTAACTGCTTTGCTTCGCTTCGATGCTAAAAAAAATTAAAAATAGTTACAAGTAACTATTTATAATTTTTTTAACTGGCGCTGCGATAAAATTTTATAAGCCGGGGTAAAAAAAAATTTTTTTATTTAAAAAATTTGGATGGTTTTATAGGTGATAGAAGTCTAATCCTTAAATTACGATTAGTTGAAGGTTTCACCCTTCTTTATTCTAAAACATATAGTTAAAACCTTAAAATTAAAAGATCAAATAAAAAGTCCTTATAGTTAAAAATATGTATGTAATTGTATCAACCGCGTAAAAAAAAAAAAATTAAATAAGGCTAAAAATAAAAATTTTTTTATTTTATAAATTTTTAATAAGACTCTAATATCTAATAAAATAAAAATTTTTATATTTACAAGTACTACAATACGAAAAACCTAAATTTTAATTTAAACTGCACTTCTTACTCAATTTTTGTTAAGCCTCTTACTTTCACTTTAGTAAGTAGCTATCTGTATTAATATAAAAAATTAAATGTTCTCTCCAAAAAAAGGGGTACCTAAATTTAAGAGTATAGTATAATGGTAGTATATTGGTCTCCAAAACCTTAGGTAGGTGTTCGATTCACCTTGCTCTTGTAGAGAAAAAAAAATTTTTTTTTATAGATTCCCCCTTAATAAATTTTGACTTTAGCCCATTGGCAGCTTGGCTGATTATCATATTTTGTTTAAACTACAAATTTTTATTAGCGCTCCGATCTTTGATCACTGCGTCATAAAAATTTATTAAAAGGATTATGCCCTAAAGAAAAAAAGAAAAATTTTAGGTTATTTTATAAGGACTTTTTTTTTTTACTCAAATAAGTTTAATATATTAAAAAAAAAAAAAAAAATTTTTTTTAGCCTACGTTTTGTATTACAAGTTTTTTAAGTTCTTAGCTTCAAAGGTTAGCGAGGTTTCAGTTCGATTCTGAAAGAACTTTAATGAGTTTTCTAAGTTTATTAATATACGTAGTAGCTAAAGCTTTACACTCTAAAAATATTTCACCAGTCTCATTCGCTAGAATTGTGTCTATAGTTTTTATTTATGCCGGAGTATTATCATCAAATGCTTTTTTTGTTCAGACAATTGGACAGGGTATAGGTATCTATAGTGGATTATTTGAAGTTAGCTCTATCTCTTTATTTATAGATATCTTAATCTTTTTTATAGGTGGTCTAATATTGGTATCATGGCCATCAATATCTAAAACACAATTACTTTACCCTGTCAAAAATAATTTATTATCTTTACAAAAAAATACAGATTTACATACGGTTAAGTTAAATAATGCTGGAGAATATTCATTAATTGTATTATTTAGTACAATAGGTGCTTCTTTATTAATATCATCTGGTGATTTAATTTCAATGTATTTAAGTATAGAATTACAATCTTTTGGTGTATATATATTATCTTCAATCTTTAGAGATTCAGAGTCATCAACTTTTGCTGGTCTAAAATATTTTTTATTGGGTGGTTTATCCTCATGTATTATATTATTAGGTTCAGTAATATTATATTCGTATACAGGTTTAACAAATTTTGAGTCTATATATAGCTTGGTCGCAATTTCAGATGGTGAACTGGTTTCACATGGATTAAGTTTAGGGTTTATATTAATAATACTTGGTTTCTTATTTAAAATAGGTGCAGCACCTTTACATAATTGGTCCCCTGATGTATATGAAGATACACCAACCATAGTTACAATTTGGTTGACAATTATGCCTAAAATATCTATAATAATTTTTTTATTGGAATTATTCAGTCAAATAGATATAATAGGTAATAATGTTTCAATGGTGGAACAAATTGTTTTTTTAGATACCATAAAAGAGACTAGCAGTATATTTATTAGTTTTTCAGATCTAAAGGAGATAGTATCTCTAACAAACAATTTAAACCCGGAAAAATTAATAGGTGAAAATACAGGTTATATAGTAAAAAATTTATTATTGATCAGTTCTTTATTATCTTTAATAATAGGAACGATAGTAGGTTTAGCTCAAACAAAATTAAAAAGATTATTAACTTATAGTACAATTTCTCATGTAGGTTTTATTTTGTTAGCTTTAGCTATAAATAGTGAGCAATCAATAGATTCTTTAATCTTTTATATTGTTCAATATACAATAACAAATTTAAATACTTTTTTAATAATTTTAGGGTTTGGTTATATATTAAAAAATATAATTTTAATCAAAAATTCAGAATTTTTAGCTTTAGGTGAGACAGGTACAGAAAGAGACATAAAAGAAATAAAAGAACTTACAGGTCAATTTTTTTCTAACCCTCTTTTAAGTATAAGTTTAACTATTTGTCTATTTTCTATGGCAGGTATCCCTCCTTTAATGGGTTTTTTTGGAAAACAATTTGTTTTATATTCAGCAATCCAAAGTGGATATTATTTTATGTCAATAGTTGGTATAATAGTCAGTGTAATAAGTGCTTCTTATTATTTAAAAATAATCAAAGTATTACATTCTTCTAAAGTAGAAGAAGAAACAAACAGTAAAAAATCAGGAATCTGTGATAGTTTTAATCACAGCATCGCTTCGCTAGAGCAGCTAGCGACGGAAGGACAAAGCCAGAGCGCAGCCACAAAAATAACAAACTTTCATAGTTTTTTAATATCTGGTTTAACTTTATCAATTTTAATTTTTATTTTAAAACCTTCAATTTTGTTAAATAGCACACAGTTGCTTTCATTATCTTTATTTTGTTATTAATGGATAATATTTCGATGCTTTTTATTTTTGTACCTATTTTATCTTTGATTTTGTTGGCTTTAAATCTATTATTAGCTCCACATCTTCCTTATGAGGCTAAAGTCTCTGCTTATGAGTGCGGTTACGTGGCTTTACCGGGCCAAACAAGATCTACTTTCCAAATTCAATTTTATTTAGTTGCCATTCTTTTTTTGGTGTTTGATTTGGAAATATTATTAATTTTACCTATTGCTGTTTCACTTTATCAAGTGGGTACTTTTGGATTTAGTGTGGCAGTAATATTCTTTATTGTTTTAACAATAGGGTTTGTTTTAGAAATAGGATCTGGTGCTATTAATATCTCTACATCTGCGAATCATTAATTTTATTATTTAAAAAAAACAAAAAAAACTCTACCCTTCATAAATTAGGAGGCCGGAATACCAAAGCTGCCCCCCCTGCTAAATTATATAATACCCTTAATCTTTTCTCCCGGCTAAATTCTTAAATACCCGTAGCAAATACTTTCACTTTCACTTTCACTTTCACTTTCACTTTCACTTTCACTTTCACTTTCACTTTCACTTTCACAAAAGGGGTAACTATTTTTTCATTAGTGTTAATCGTTGGTTAGTAGAAATCCTTAGTTTTAACACCTAATACTAAATTTTTCTCTTAAAAAATAAATATTAATTTATTTTTTTTAGCCTTAAAAAATTTATAACTCTGTTATAATTTTTTTTTTAGCCCGCACATTTAAATTCTCAAAATTAGTCTAAAGCATAGCTGGCTTTACCTTAACCTAAATTCAGTCAAATTTAAGTCTTATAAAAAAGGAACGTAAGGTAAGCAAATTTAGGAAAGAAAATGTTCAAACGACAGAATCCTTTTTAAGTATAATCGGTTTAATAATTGTAAGTATAGAAGGTAAAACAGGTATAAATATAGTAGCTTATTTTTAATGCGCTAAAAAAAATTATAAATAGTTACTTGTAACTATTATAATTTTTTTTTAGCGCATGCGCAGCATAATACCAAATATTACCGGTGCCGGTGATTTCCCTGCTAAATAAAAATTGTTTTGCTTCGCCTTGTTGCGAAGCCTTCTATCGCTTGCTGCCAGACTGATGCTCTAGCGCAAGACTTGCGCAGCCTCTGTGCGCTAGCGCTAAAAAAAAATTATAAATAGTTACAAGTAACTATTTATAATTTTTTTAACTAATAAAATTTTGATATAGATATACAAATTTTATAAGCACCGCTTTGTTATCTTTTGCTTCGCTTCGTGGCCGCGATTGCCTTCGCCCGCATCGCTAGCATCGCTTGCTGCGCAAGCGATGCTAGCGATGCAAGCGATGCTGTGATACCGCTTTGCTGCTCTCTGGCTACGCCCTTGCTTTAGCATCGCTTGCTTCGCTTCGATGCTAAAAAAAATTAAAAATAGTTACAAGTAACTAATTATAATTTTTTTAACTGGCTAGCGACGCTGCTCTACGCGAAGAAGCAGAGCAGCGAAGACTAAAGCATCGCTGCTACCGCTTAAGCGAGCGAAGCAGCAAGGATCAAAGATCACAAAGCCAAGCAACAGTAAATAGAAAATATCAATATTAATAAATAAAAGAGAAAGAGTCCTAAATAATAATAATTTCTGTCCTCATCTGAAAAACTCTAATTTAACCGGTGCTTAAAAAAATTATAATTTAATTCTCCCCACTGCCTTTAGTTTCATCAAAATTTTATCTTTATGATGCTCTGCTCTGATCTTTGGCTTCGGCTGCTAAATAAAAATTTTATATTTATGATGCTCTCTGATACCGCTTTGCTGCTTTGCATTGCAAGAGCCTTAAAATAAAATTTGTATATTTATTGATGCTTTGCTTCTATGATGCTTGCTAGCTCTTCGCTAGTTCAAAAAATTATAAATAGTTACTTGTAACTATTTATATTTTTTTTTAGCCGCAGTAGGAGAGAAAAGATAACAATTTGTGTTTTTTTTAAGTGCATTATCTATAGTTATATTTTATTGAACAAAATTAAAATTTATTCATAAATAGTGTTTATGCACCGCACCGCTAGCCTATAAAAAGTTATAATTTAATTATAATTTTTTTAAGCGCTAAAAAAAAATTATAAATAGTTACTTTGTAACTATTTATAATTTTTTTAACTAGTTAAAAAATAATTGTTATCAAAGATAACTATTATTTTTTTTAACCGATATAGATATAAAAATTTTATAAGCGCGCAAGCGATGCTAAAGCAAGGGCGTAGCCAGAGAGCCAGACTCATATTTATTTTTGAGGCTGAAATAGTTTAAATGGTTAAAACATACCACTCATGACGGTATAATAAAGGTTCAATTCCTTTTTTCGGCTTAGAGTAAAAAAATTAATAATAATAAATAAAAATGAACTAATTTAATTTGCTATCTCCCTTTCATTTTAGAGTTAAATAGTTAAGTATACTTATGGTCTCCTCTGGCTTATAAAATTTGTATATTTATTGATGCTTTGCTTCTATGTTGCTTGCTAGCTCTTCGCTAGTTCAAAAAAAATATAAATAGTTACTTGTAACTATTTATATTTTTTTAGCCTGCGGTGCGGTCGAAGGCCTTCGCTGCTCTGCACCTCTGGGCTCAAAAAAAAAAAATTATAAATAGTTACAAGTAACTATTTATAATTTTTTTAACTAGCGAAGAAGGGATGGAAAGAAAGAAAGCCGCAAGCGAGAGTATTTATATTTTTTATTTATTATCCTTAATTTTAAACAACTCTTTTTTAATTCAAACATTCAGAATCTAATTACAAATTTTACTTTCCTATAGTCCTAGGTTAAACCTATTAAAAATAATAAAAATTTATTTTTTTATGCGCTTGCTGGCGAAGCTTTTTAGTAAATGGACTAAACAATTTGTTTACTTGTTTATTTTTATTTAATTAGATCAACTATAACACCATTAAAAATTATGTTACAATTATTACTAATACTACCTTTAATTGGTTCTTGCCTATTGCTTTTAATCCCTGAAAATTCATTAGAAAATAAAGCTAAAATTAAAAATATAGCTTTATCAGTTTCTCTTATAAATTTAATCCTTTCTATCTTATTATGGATACAATTTGATTCAAATACAAGTGATTTTCAATTTGTATATGAGTTTAGTAAATTGAGTTTTTGTCATTTTAATATAGGAGTAGATGGTATTTCTCTTTATTATGTTTTACTTACAACTTTTATAACTCCAATTGCTTTAATTTCTAATTTTGATAATATAAATAAAAATGTCAAATTTTTTGTAATATCTTTCTTATTATTAGAAACAATACAAATTGCAGTATTTGTTGTTTTAGATCTATTCCTTTTTTACATTTTCTTCGAAAGTGTTTTACCTATTTTATTTATTATTATAGTTGTTTACGGTTCAGGTGAAAATAGAATAAGATCTGCTTTACTTTTCTTTTTATATACTCTAGCTGGTTCTTTATTTATGCTTTTAGCTGTACTTCAAATATATACTTATATTGGATCTACTGATTTTATCTTAATTTCTTTAAGTGAAATAAGTTTAGATAGTCAAAAAGTATTATGGTTAGGATTCTTCTTAGCTTTAGCTGTTAAAACTCCATTGTGGCCTTTTACAGGATGGTTATATAGAGCTCATAGTGATGCTCCTTTAGCTGCATCTATTTTATTAGCTGGTACAATTCTAAAATTCTCAACTTATGGATTATTAAGAGTTTTAATTAGTTTCTTACCTGATGCTACTAACTATTTCAGTCCATTCGTACAAACAATAGCTATCGTAACTTTAATATATGCTTCTTTAGCCACTATTGTTCAACAAGATACTAAATCTCTAATTGCTTACAGTTCTGTTTGTCACATGGCTGTGGTAGTTTTAGGTTTATTTTCTAATACTATCCAAGGAATCGAAGGGGCTATTTTATTATCATTGGCTCATGGTTTTGTCTCTCCAGCTTTATTTATTTGTGTGGGTGGGGTTATTTACGATCGATTGCACACTAGAACTATACCTTATATTAGAGGATTAGTCACAACTATGCCTATTTTCACTATCTTATTTTTCGTATTTACTTTAGCTAATACAGGTATTCCTTTATCTTTAAACTTTATTGGTGAGCAAATGTCATTAATTGGTATTTGGGAAAGAAATCCTGTAGCTTCTGTATTAGGTGCCACAGGTATAGTATTTTCAGCTTGTTACAGTATTTATCTATATAATAGAATTTCATACGGTGTATATTCTCCTCATTTAAAACCATTACAGGATGTTACAAGAAGAGAATTTAACGTATTAATAGCTTTATTAATTCCTACTGTTATACTAGGTATTTTCCCTAATGTTATTTTAGATTCATTACATCTTTCGGTTTCAACTTTATTATTTAATTTACCTTAATCCCTACCCCCGCTTTGAGACCGCTTAAACGACGATCTCGCTTCTTAGCTCTTAAAAAATGTCATTTTAACATAAAAAAGGCGAAGCCTAATATCTTATCTTTTATCCGATCAAAGATCAAAGCGCTTAAATTTTGTTAAATTAAATCAAATTTTTATGAAGCAGCTAGCGCAGACAGACAAATTTTGTTTAGTTATATCTTTTTATTTAATATCGGGGCTTTTAAAAATTTTATTAAATATAAAATTCTTATCTAGCGCTATTAAAAATTTATAACTCTGTTATAAATTTTTTTTAGCCCGCAAAATTTTATTTTGCACTTTACCTTATTAATCTTAATTTTATGACGCAGGCGACTAAAAAAAATTTTTTGTTTTTTATTTAATTAAATAAGGATTAAGCATAAAATTCTTATTTAAGGATCAAAGCTCATAAAAGCTCACAAAAATTAAATTTATATTATTTTTTAGTAACGTATCAATAAGAAAAAAAAAAGAAATAAAAATTTATTATAGCTGGCTTTAATTAAATTTTTATAAATAAAGAAGTTGGTTTAAATTAACACATTTAGAAATAAAAAAAAAAAGTATTAGTATTTTAAAAAGAAAGTTTTGAATATAAAATTATAAATTAGTTGAGTGTTTTTTAATCGGTTTTTAATTTAGATACTATTCAAAATGCGCACTGCCTTTAGTCGCTTGCGGCGGTGCCTTGTGTTTACGGTTTCTAAAAATAAAAATTAGTATAGACATAATAAAAAAAATATTTATTCAAAGAAATATATACTTAAAATAAAATTTAAATTTTTAATCTAATTAATTATTTTATTTTATTATTATTAAAAGAGTAGATGACTCAAAAAAAATTTTTATCTCAAAATTTAAATTTTTAATCTAATTAATTATTTTATTTTATTATTATTAAAGTAAAAAAATTTTTAATCTAAAAATAATAATATCTAAAAAAAAAAAAAAGAGTTTAGTATAAATGGTAGTACATTGGTTTAAAAGCAAGCCTTTAGCAGGAGTTCGAGTCTCCTAGCTCTTACAAAATAATTTTATGATTATTTACACTTTTTTTTAGTTCTTAGCTTCAAAGGTTAGCAGGGTTTCAGTTCGATTCTGAAAGAACTTTAATGAGTTTTATAATATTGTTAATATACGTTAAAGCTAAAGCTTTACACACTCTATACATATCACCAGTCTCATTTGCTAAAATTGTGTCTATAGTTTTTATTTATGCCGGAGTATTATCATCAAATGCTTTTTTTGTTCAGACAATTGGACAGTGTATAGGTATCTATAGTGGATTATTCGAAGTTATCTCTCTCTCTTTATTTGTATTTGTAGTTAAACTTCAAATTAAAAAAATCCTGTTTAAAAATAAAATTAAGAAAATTTATTTTAATTTAAAAAAAAAAATATTAAACTTAAAATTATTTTTAAATCACACATTTTTAGTGCTAATTTTTGGCCTGTTAAAGATTTTAAATTTTTTACACCAAATGAGTTGTGATTTTTGTATATATATTTACAACAAAACCAAATCTCAAATTTTCTTTTTTGTGTTCCTACCATTTATAACGAATCAATCTTTTGTGGCTGTATTTTATTTTTATTATTTTTTGTATGTTCTAACGTTATCTATACTAAGTTTAGTATTTCTAGGCTATTCTGCCTTAGATGATTTTGTTTTTAAGGCAGTCCTTCGCAGTCCTTATAGTAAATTAATCTTTAAGAGTTATATTATGTCAGCAGCTGACTTAACCGCTCTAGTCAAATACGAAGATACTAGAGTTCCCGATCTCAGATCGCCTGTGTATATTCCAAAATACATCCCGAATTTCACAGATGTAACTCAGGCAAATAATGTTCAGGGAAATCCTAGTTTCTTTTTAGTGCGTAGTACTTGTCACGATTTAATCCTAAGATGCAATCACATGATCTTACAGTATCCGCCTAGGACATTCAGCTTCGATTACACTTCTAGGGTAGAAGATTATAAATTCTTCTTTGAATCTTGTCTTATTCAGCCATTAGGTTTAGGGTTAGCTTATACCAAAAATGAAATTTTTATGTTTAGGGAATGCATGAATTTTCAATTTGTAGATGATTCTTTTAAGTCGGAAGTAGCCATAAGGTTTATAACTAAACAATTAAACTTTTTAGATTCTCCTCTAAATCTAACCAGTACTAATCCTAGAATATCATTACCGCCACTTGAAACGAAGAGATTTTTAGCTTTATTAGTTAAAGGTATAAATGAAGCAGCCTTTGACCAATTAGCTAATAATGAATCAGCTGTGATAGAAGATTCCAATTTATCGGCAGCTGCTAAAAGACAATTGGTCAATAATCTATTAGTACATTTCCGTTAAAATAATATTTTACCATATAAATTTTCATAATTTCATCTTTTTTCTTTTTAAGGACAAGGACAAATAGAGTCTCCCTATTTTTGTGGTTTTTTTTTAGGGAAGTAAAAAAAAAAAATACAAAAAAAAACAACGATAAAATTGATTAATTTTTAAAGATTTTTATACTTGTTCAGGGTTTTTTGGTACTCTCTGTTTATTTTCTTTGTATATACGCATGTCTTAAAAAAATTTATTAAATAGTTACAAAGTAACTATTTATAAATTTTTTTTCAGTCTGGCCTTCGTTGCGTAGCAGCGTAGCGCTGATCTTTTATCGTAGGGCTAATAAAAGATATTATAAAAGATCAGTTAAATTAAATTGTGTGAAAATTTTATATGGGGAGGTCTTTTATCTAGCGTTCTCTGATATTTTTTTTTGACTGAATAAATATTAGGTCGCAGTAAACCCCCTTTTTTGAGGTGTTAAAAAAATGATAATTTAATTATAATTTTTTAAGCGCTAAAAAAAAATTATAAATAGTTACAAGTAACTATTTATAATTTTTTTTAACTGATACCCCGCTACCGTTACTAATCAAATTTTTATTGCTTCAAATTTTATAAGCCTAGGCTGCTTTAGTCTTCGCCTCCCTACGGAGGCATCCGCTTAAGCGATGCCAGAAAGCGACGATCGTTCAGCGGATGCTTTAGTCTTCGCCTCCCTACTAAGCATCCGCTTAAGCGAAGCAAGCAAGGCTTATCAAATTTTGATATAAAAAATCTGCTGCGCAACAAATTTTATTAGTGTCGCTTCAGCGGTAGCCAGCTGCTGCGCAACAAATTTTATACAGGCGGATGCTTTAGTCCTCTGATCTTTTATCTGAAGGAAACAAATAAAAATGTTTTTTTAAATATTTTTTAACGAAATAAATAAAAGAAAGAGAAAGTAAATAATTTAAATTTAAAATATAATTTAAAAATATGTATAAAATAAAATACCGTTAAAAAAATTATAAATAGTTACTTGTAACTATTTATAATTTTTTTTAAGGACGCTACTTACACAAAATAATTGTGGGTAACCGCACTATTATTTTTTTTTTTTTAGTAAGCAAATATAAATATAATACTATAAATTTATTACTTATGTGTTCAATAAAAGTGTAGTGTAAAATCAAATTATAAACAAAATAAATATAATAGCTATTATATTATTATTAAAAATAATGCGTAAACTTTTTTGGTTTTGCACTATTTTTTTTTTCAATTCATAAGTAAAAAGACCATTATATCTCATTCATTAAATATTGATAATTAAAATTAACCTTTTCTTAAAATTAACCTTTTCTTATAAATCAATCATCTTTTACAATTTTTAATTATCTTATTTAATCTATAAAACCAAATTAAACTATCATAGCTCATAAATAGTTTTAATTAAAATTTTTTTTTTTCTTAATTAAAAATATTTTTACCTCTTCGAAGCCTAGAGTCTTAAAATGCTTAAATAAAATTAACGCACTTATTGTAAAATAAATTTGTCTGTGCACTAATTTTTTTTAGTGTTATAAATAAATACTAACAAAATTATAAATAAATTATAAATATGTTAGCGTTCATTTTAATGGTAAGCTTGAACTCTAGGTAAGCAATATCCAAATACGCAGGTAAATTAAATAGTATGTTAATCTCAAAAAATAAAATAAAATAAAATTAAATTAATTATCTTTTTAAAAATTTGATTAAATATAAAATTTTTATCTAGTTAAAAAAATTATAAATAGTTACTTGTAACTATTTATAATTTTTTTTAAGGTCTACTTAGTAGTTTATAAAAATTTGATTAAATATAAAATTTTTATTTAGCCCTTCTTCGCTAGAGCAGATAAGCCAAAATTTTATTAACTAGCGAAGAGAGTGTATTATTTTTTTAGTGTTAACAATTTTTATTTTATATTGGTTTATCTATAATATTTCATTTGCCTATAACTTTGTACGGTGCTTTGCTTTTTTAAAAATGAACAGTGTGTAGATAAAATATAGTGCTTTTCTGATAAAAATTTAAATTTTTTAATCACTAAGCAATTGTTAAAAAATTTAAATTGATAAAGTTAAAAAACTAATTTGATATAACTTTACTCTGTATTTTGTTTTTAAACTTCAACTTAACAAAAAATACGTTTATGGTAATTGAAAACTAATATTATAATTTTATTATTAACCGTAATCTTAACCAGATATAAATTAAAAATATAAAATTAAATATCAAAGGCAGGTTACAATTATTAAAATTTAAAATAAATTTCCTCTTTAATTTTAAATTATTGTTTCCCTGATCTTTTATCCTTAATAAAAATGCGCACTTTGTGCCTTGTGTCCAGATCCCAGATCATAGAAGCTAAAGCATCAGATCGGATGCTATCGCTTTATGCAAGGATCAGGACTCTTTAATAAAATTTGTATTTAAGAACTAATTTTTGTTTAAGTATAGAGTACTAAAGATATATTCCTTTAATTAATCTTATTATAGATACTATCATTTGCACCTCTATTTATTTATTACCCAGGTTTTTTATTGCTACCCTTTTTTTAATTAATCTGACTAAATGTAATATAAATTTACTCTTAGTAAAATAGTTTCCTAATCGGCTGATAATTATTTCTTCTGCTAAATAAAAATAAAAATTTTATAATAAATAAAAAAAAAAAAAAAAAAAATAAAAATTTTATTTAAGCGCAGAACTAGTTTTTATATTGTTAAATCTTAAAAAGCCCTTGATTAGCCTATATTACTAATATTATCTTTATTTATAGCTAAAAATAAAATTTTTTCTTTGCAATTAATAAAAAATTTAATTTTTACGTCGCTTAACAATGCTTTGAAGGTTTGTCTAAATAACATTAAGCCTTCGGACAAAACAAAAAAGTAAATAAAATTTAAGATTATAATTTAGGGTAAATATAATTAAACAAGTAAAATAGTTACCGGGCCTAAAAATTTTTCAACTTAAAAATTTAATTAAAATTAAATAAATTTTTAATGACTCATTAAAGCAGTCGCTTAAGCGGTTAACCTCTTATCAATTAGCCTTAGTTTCTTTGCTTGTAAAAAAAAAAATATAAATCACCGGTGCTTAAAAAAATTATAATATAATTTTTTTAGCCCTTCACCGTGTGTGTCTGTGTCAACGTGTCAACGTGTCAACGTGTCAACGTGTCAACAAACAAAATGTTTTTTTTTTTTATAGCAGCTTCAAGCGGTAAAAAATTTTTAATTTCTATAAATTTTTTTTCATTGCATCGCTTTGATACCGCTTTGCTGCTTTGCTTTGCTTCGCTTCGTTGCTTAGCTCTTCGCTGCTACCGCTTAAGCGAGCGAAGAAGCAGAGCAGCGCTGCTACCGCTTAAGCGAGCGAAGCAGTTAAAAAAATTATAAATAGTTACTTGTAACTATTTATAATTTTTTTTTAGCACAGCATCATGGCTACGCTGATACCGCTACCGCTTAAGCGAGCGAAGCAGTCAAAAAAAAAATTGTTTTAATTTAAAAATAATTTTTTTTTTTTTAGCGGTGCAGTGAAAGAAGAGGTAACTATTCTCACTGGTATAATAAATATAAAGAGTGTGTTAGGCCTAATAAAAATTTTATTAGCGCATATAAAAAAAAAAATTATAATTTTTTTTTAAGGCC